GCTGGTCGGGTATTTTGTAGAATGTCCTTCAGTTACACCTGATTGCTTTGATGTTTTCTCATGATTAGGCTGGGGGTTTTAGTTTAGGGGAAGAAGATCATAGGGGTAAATTACCATCCTCATCACATCAAGTCAAGAGCACATATTATGAACGTGACCTATCACTGTTCATTTAACCTTGATCAACCTGGTGATAAAATTGTATACATGCGTAAGTCACTGTAATTTTTATTATGATGGATTGTCACTGTTATTAATATTATTATGTAATGCAATAGACTAGATTCCAGAGACCTTACGTTTCTACGTACATTGCTCTGGGAGCTTTGGCCACTTCACCAATCTGATCTTTAGAATTTTTTTTTTTTAATTGGGGAATTGGGGGATGGGAACAGTGCAGGGGAATTGGGGGAAGAGGAACAGACAAGTTGCTGTCCTTTTGTTCTTCAATCTAGTTGTGGAGGACGTTGCTTCACATGGCCCAAGTAGGCACCATCATTGCGCTCTTCCCGGGCGAGGCAGATCAGTCCCCGGCTTCTGGACAGCCGCTCACAGTGGCTGCTGGCCACTCACGCTGGCTGTTGGCTACACACGGTAGCCCATGGCAACCCACTGCCACAGGGGCTGCAGCCTACACCTTCGCAGGCGACTCACAGCAGCCCAGCTCCAGGTTGAGCTGTTGTTCAGCATCTTAGCTGTGGAGGGCAATGCCACTGGCCCTCATATGTGGGATCTGAACCAGGGCCCTCTGGCATCCCGGGCCAGCTCTTAACCAACGCGTTACTTGGCCGGCCCTGATCTTTAGAATGTTTTGTTCTTATTGTAAAACCAAATGGTTGTGTGGCTTGGGGCATGCCAATCTGAACATGTATTCTTTGAAAACTGTGTTTGCATGTTTGTAGTTACTTCTGCAATGCTTTCTAAACAATATGCAGTTCTAGGTGTGCAAACTGCGGTGTCTAGCCTCCATAGTGTCCCAGTGAATGGGGTTGATCTTTTGTGGACATGATGGTGTGTGACTTCTGCAGTTAGATAACGAAGGCATTGTGGCTTCCACTTTGTGGTCTCTTGGATCAGTCACTCAGGGAGAATCAGCCATCATGTCGTGAACACTCCAGCAGCTTTACGCAAAGGGACATGTGGTAAGGAACTGAGGCGTCCCGCCTATACCCACTACCGAATTGCCCATGATTGAGTGTGCCATCTTGAAATCAAATCCTGCAGTCCAAGCAAGGCTTTGCATGATGATCCCCAGCTGTCATAGTTACTGCCACCTCATGAAAGACCCCCATCCAGTACCACCCAGCTAAGCCACTCTGGAATTCCTGAACTCCAGCAACTGTGTGTGGGGGGAGGGGGAAAGTGTTTAAAACAAACAAACAAAGGGTTGGATCCCAAGGCTATGAAACTGTGTTAGGGCCCTCATGGTTTGAGGGTGGGGGTCATCTATGTGGAGTACTGATTGGCTTGGTTCCCAAACTCCTCCCCCACGTAAGCCACTATGGCCCTGGATTTATGTGGTTTATATCTTGTGTAGGATTTGTGTAGGATGTGTTTTGAAGAAAGGAGTCTGCTGCCAGAAATAAGTTGGAAAATGCTGGATTAGGGAAACTCTGGATTCGATGACCTCTCACTCTATGATTTCATTTATCAGTATGAAAAAAAAACTGCTTCTTGCAAACATGTGGGCAGTATTTTATTCAGGGTTCCTTCTTCTTGCCAGGAAGCACAGTGTGATTAAGGTTGAAAACAGAAGCTTAATGGGTGTTGCTGACTGATAAATGTATCAGGAGCTGCCTTTCCTGACTGGGAAGGGTGGGCAGAGTCCAGGCCATGGAGAAAGCACTGCTCCTGGAGAGGAAAGGGCCCTGTATGAACATGGCTGTCCCCAGGGCCACCTGCAAACTGTGAGGGGACAGATGGGTTTGCTTCTGTTCCCAACACTTGTTTATAATAATAATAATAATGATGTTAACAATATGGCTAGCATGTATTGAGTGCTATGTGCAAGGCCTGGGATGGTGGTTTTACATTCATGATCTCATTTAACCCCCACGACAGCCAGGAAGTAGCATTTTATAGCTTGAGGAAACGGCGGAGGCTGGTAGGTTAAATAATTCACCGGAGTTGTGGGTTAGGAAGCGTAGAGCAGCGATGATGACTTGGCCTGTCTGGAGCTATACAACCCTTTGCCACCCTTTCATGTATGGTAGGCCACTGTTCAGAAGTGGGTCTGACATGCACTGATTTCACACCTGGAGGTTTTAGTAGTTAGTCGTCATAAGAAGAGCACTTGGTTCTTTCACTCACTCATTCACAGAACGGACATTGAGAGACTCCTCTGTGTCCAGGCGCTGCTCCAGGGCCCTGGGGACAGAAGGGCCAGGAAAACTAACTGATGCTCCCCCGGGGTGGGCTAGAGGAGAGAGAACTTGAGAGGCCAAACTCTGGGGAGGGAGAGGGAGGAACAGGGATCCTGGAGACCAAGGTCTTCATTGGAGCAGAGCTACAAAAGGCCTTCGGAGGACAGAAAGACTCTGTGTGACCAGGAGCTCGACCCCAAAGACAGTCGCTTGGTATAGTCACTGAAAGACAGTCTCCAAAGATAGTCTTTGTTCCCAGAGAAAGCCCCTCCAGCAAGCCTGCCTGGCTTGTGCTTCTCCTGGCTGCACACCGCTGGGGTGGGGGGTGGGGGGGCCCTGCCTGTCAGCACCATGGTAAGCCTGGAATGGCCGCCTGTGTTGGCCAGCACCACCAACACCACACTAACACAGCTTGTTCAGGAATGGTACCAACATAAAGGTGTTAAGAAACCTCGTGCTGTGAATCGGACCTTGAGAAACTGAGGTTTGAAATCAAGTCGGCTGCAGCATTGTTCAGGGAGAGATTTTCAAGTGCAGGTCTTATCACGCGTGCGATTCAAAATGTAGTTCCTTCTTTCCGTTGGTCTCATTATCTTATTAATGATTGTACTCTTTGGCTGGAACTTTGTTTTGATAAAACGCCAACTGTTTCATGAATGTTTATTGAGGCCCCAACGAAGCTCCTCCACTCCTCCACGGTGGGGCCAGCACCATCATCGCTCTATAATCCCCACCGACTTAGCCCTGGGGGAGGGGGGGGTCACTTCATTCATGAACGTGAATCCTTCGCACCCCCACCCTCCCGCCCCAAGAGTTTGGAGGGTGGGTGGGAACCTGCCCCAGAAAGTGCAGGGGTTTTAGTTCCACTAAAGGGAAGGGAGGAACGTTCTCCGTAGGGAAAGCGGTGCCTGTCTCTGTCTGTGGAGACCTGGCATCTAGCTGCCCCAGCCCCACATGGCTTGTTAGCAGTGGGGAGGAGCTGGCCCCACCGAGCCAAGCCAATCGGTATCTGCTGCTCTCTCAAGCTGCATTCCAGCCCCATCAAAACACCCCAGGCCACCCTGCAGACTGCAGCCAATACTATTTTATCTTCAGTCCTTTGTGAGAGGCTTGGATTTCCTCCTCCACTCTGGCCAGGCTGCTTCTCAAGGACATATTCTTAGATATCATCTGGGTCTGCTAGAAAGCAGGGCAAGGCTAGTGAGGGGGTGGGGGGGCTTTTATCTTATTTGTTCTGCTGGCTGACATTTCAAGTCTTGTTTTGCTATGTTCTTACTCAGGGATCTAGAAGGCAGGCAGCTGATTTAAAAACTCTCACCAGGGACTACCTCTAGGTTTCCCCAAAGTGTGTTTCATTCGCGACTAGCTGGAGAAATAGGGGTGGGGACTAGGTCACAGAGGACATGCAGTAACTTGCAATAAAACAAACCTGCTGTTGATTGAGGTGACTGAAGGGGTTTGCAGTTTAACTTAGAGGCGAGATGGGTCCTGCCTCCTCAGCAGGGGAAACTGGACCACTGTGACCAGCACTACCAGGAAGAGGGGTGGCGGCCTCTGGCTGCCAGGTGGTGAGAGCAGTGAGCAGGGGTGTCCTGGGACCCCCCCTGGCTTCCCCCAGCTGCTCAGGGTCCTAGTGCTCTCCACCATTCTTGGGTGAAGCCTAGCAACCATTGTTGCTCAACTACTTACGTGGATAACACACAAAGCAGTAAACGCCACCTAATAATTAGGGGCTACAGCCATCCAGTAAAGTAACTAAGGAACGTGTCTGTATGAACTCTGAGGTCAACACTTGTCTATCCCATCCTTTTCCTGGCCTTTGGCAATTTAATTCTGGATAAGGAAATGTTATTAATGAAAAACAAGCAACAGCATTTGTAAAAGTGAAAAAAAACAAGGTTTAAAAAAGTCTATTTCAAGCATTCAGTCCTACTCTGTCATGTGAAGGAAGACACAGTGAGAAGAAGGTGGCTGTCTACAAGCCAGGACGAGGGCTCTCACCAAAACCCAACCACCCTGATCTTGGGTGGCCAGCCTCCAGAACTGTTGAGAAGTACATTTCATTTCTGTTGTTCCAGGCACCCAGCCTGTGGTGTTACAGCTGCCCGAGCTGACTGGATGCCAGTTGCTGATGCTTTCTTTCCCTCTGGACAAGACAATGAGCTCATGAAAACAGCTCTTTGTGAGTGGTGCTGCTTAATATACAGGACTTTGGCTTTCACAGGTAGGAGGAACAACCAGGTAATCTGTGAAAGTACAAGTGGGTTTAGGTGCTGGCTTGGCCCTAACGCTGTGGCTCCCATCTTAGCTGCACACTAGAATCTTTGTGGTGGGGGCGGGGCTTGCAAAGTCTGGATGTCCTGACTACACCCAGGACCAAATATAATAGATCACCAGAGGCAAGGTCCAGACATCGCCAGCATTTAAAGCTCCACAGGTGACTCCAATGTGCAGCCAGATGAGACCCACCACCCTAAAGGTCCAGTACTGGGGTGAGGGGTCCCCCACTAAAAGGAAAGGTGCCAAGTCTTCATTCCTGTTGCAGAGCTGAATGGCCTGCTCTATGGGGATCAATGGGGTGAACGTCAAGTGGGACCGAAGGCGAATCGTTTCAACAGATCAAAACAGCATCCATCATTTCAACAACGAGCAGCATTAAGCTCACAAAAGTACTTTTTATTTGAGGCAAGAAGTCTGACTGAAAGGGTTACAGTTCCAAGCAGCCAAAACCCAATTGTTAGTGGCACTATTTTTCACTTGGTAGATTTAACATAGTCAGAAAACGATACTGAGGCTGTACTTTCCCCAGCTAGACAAGAAGGGCAAAGAAAACTGGAAGAGGCTTCTAATCTACCGATACTGCTCTTCAGACCCAACACCAAGCTGGCCGAGCCCTCGCTGGTTCCGCCGCAGGTCGCTGACCCACCGCTGAGGGACACAGGCCACACTACTCTACACACAGGGAGAATGAGGCAGGATGAACAGCAGCAGGTTACGTGGGAAGAGCAGGCACGTACAGCTTCAAAACTCTTCCTTGAAGGGATAATTCTCGTGGGAGGTGCAGCTGTCAGGAGAAAAGAGGAACACGTGAGCTTTTCAAGAAGAGATTTGAAATGTAACAAGTTATAAAAAGACAGAAATGGTGAGTGTCTCATTTCAGGCAGACATAGTGCCCACTAAACCCCAAGTCAGTTCTGAGACTCAGGTAGTGGGTCTGCCCCTGGGGGCGGCAGCCCGCCCTCCAGACTCCTCGGCCACATGAGATGGGCAGCAGCCCCTTGTGTGCCCAGCACTGTGCCTGGGCACGCAGAGCAGCAAGACCCAATTCCTGCCTCCTGGCAACGCAGTCCAGCTGGCAGGACCGGAGAGCATCTTACTGTCATAAGAGGGTGCTAGAACATCGGAGATGGTAAGAGTCTGTGCGTGTGACAGAGCAAGTGCTCCGAGTCCCGGAGCGAGAGGGCACTGTCCCCTTCAGAAGGCTCCGTGGGAGCTGACGTGAGCCCAGGATTCGAAACACAAAGGAAGTAGCAGGCTAGGCACAGACCGAGGGTGGAGAGCTGCAGGCGTGTCTGCCTGGCTGCACAGTCCCATCTGGCAGGGTCAGTGGCCTGTGCTGAGAATGTAATGGCACTAACGCTGGAAAGACGGGGACTGGGCAGACTGTGAAAGGTCCGGAGTGCGCCCAGCTTGGGACGCTTAACTCTTATTCAAATATTCAAAAGCTCCCCCACTGTCTGCTTTTTTCTTATTTTTGCATCCCATCAAAACTGAGCCATCTAACACTGCCATTAGCCACAGGAGCTCAGTATCGCAATAATTGCCAAAAAGAGGCAATGTATATGTACATATGTGTATGTATAGTTAGAAAAAGCTTCCCGGGAGACCTGGGAATAGGGAAGACAGCCTCTCCCTACTCCAACTCCAAGCCATCCCCATTAAACATCAGTAGCCCACAGAATAATCTGAAAGCAGATTCTGGAACAGCACTGGAGAGGGAAGAGACTCTAACTGCAAAGGGGACCATCGAAGAAAACCACTGTGGTCTGTCCGTCCCGAGACATTCAATCTCCGATGTCGGCAGTGGGCACTGAATGAATGGCACGAAGGCTGTCAACGCGGAATAGAAGACCCTTGGAGAATGATTCACTTCTCTCTCTTGCCCACTGGATCCAAAAGGGATTTTAGTATCTAAAGGTTAAATACCATTTACACAAACAGGGACCTCAGAAAGGACCCTGGTTTGGGGCTGCCAGCGATAAACTGTTTGTGGCCTGTTTTTGAATCTGAGGCCATGGTGTGACAGCAACACGTTCACCAAGCACGTTCACACCTGAAGCGCAGACAGTGGTCGTCCCAGGTGCCATCGTGGCGGCCGTCTGCTGGGGACAGTGGTGAATGCCACCAGCAGTGCAAGCTCTGAACTGGAGAGAGAGAGCACCCTGCCCTGTCTTAGGGAAGGCTCGCATTTGGCTTGGAAGAGTAACTAACTATACTCAAGGAGACAGAGTAGAAACAGAGAGCTCAGGCAACAAAAATTGTTGTTTTCCAGTGGAAAATGGGGCGTTTCTTCTTGAAGGCAGAAAAGGAGTTTTAAACTTCATTTAGTTATTATGCTGGTAGGAAGAGAAAATAAACCACCTTCCTTGTCATTGCCTTAAGAATCCAAAAACAACACATCAGAGGGAACACAAGGAGCCAGCGAATGTGCAGCTAGAGGGCTGCAGGTGACTCTGCCATCCAGAGGGGCTGAGTGACTTTCTCAAGAGCCAAGTGGCTTACTGGTGCTATAACTGCGACTGCCTCGCGCCCCAAGCACCATGGTCTTCCTACTAATCCCTTTTTATTAAAAATCACTGTAAGACAGGCAAATTCTTCCAGGAAGATGGGACAGGAGCCACCTGGTATCCTCTGGTTTCGGATGAGCCACTGGGATTTGAAAATTAAATGTCAAAAATGCGGTTGCTGCAGGCTAGGCTAACAATGCACCTGGAGCAGGAGGAAATACCAGAGCAGGTATCTGGGCATTTTCTCCATGGCTGTGTGTAGTTCCTGGCACAGGCTTCAACGTTTACTGGGGCACATGGATGAGAACACAAGGTAATGTGCAAAAGGTGGGAGAGCTGCGATGGCAGGACCTGGGCTGCGGGAGTTACGCTTTTGCTCCGCAGTGTCTAATACTCGCACGGGACTCACTCACCTCACCAAGGCACAGATGCGCCAGTTCCTATTGTAGCTGAGTAAGGTGGTCATATCCTCCGGGCTCAGTTCAAAGTCAAAGACCTAGAAAGAAAAAAAAACATCCAATAAGCTCTGCAAGTGAAGAACAGACAGACTACCCCAGCAGCTGTGTGCGGGTCCGCGGATGAGATGCCGCCCTGCTGGGGGCGAGAAGGGAGACCCAACTGAGAGCAAGTTGACTGCATTACTATTCAGAGAAGACCCAAGTTTGGGCTGGGTACTGTGTGGCATAAGGAAGATAGTCCTTCCCTTCTAGAACCTCCAAGCAAAACGATCCTCTTTATTCTACTTAGTTCATTTCAAGACCACTACTAAGCACTTCAACTGCGGTAAGCACCAGGGAATACAAAGATGGGTAAGACGTGTCTCTGCCTCAGTTTACAATGAAGCAAAGGAAAGACAACAGCTACCACACAAGGAGTCATTAATCGCACACTGCATGAAAGGTGCTCCACAAAGCACCCAGGAAGCCCAGAGGAATTAGGGATGAATTCCAGCTGGAGAACTAAACACTGGGATCAAAGGATTTGAGACAGGCCTGAGAAGTCAAATAAGGTTTTCACCAAGGGCAAGAGAGATGTACGGATGGAATGCTCTACATGAAGAACCACAGTCCGCCAGGGAGAATCTGGCAGCGCGGAGGCCAGCGGTGCCCCAAGCAGCACCGGGTAAGATCGCAAGGGCGCTCGGCGCCAGAGGATCACAGAACGTGCAGGAAGAAAGCCTGCTGCAGACCTGTGATTACAACTGTGCAAAAATGTGCGAGGACTGCATAGTAAGAGGCGAAAATAAAATAATGTCGTACTATGAGATCAGTCATTTAAAAACGTTCCTGTTCTAACACCTTGAGAAAATAAAATCGCGAAGAACACCTAAAGTAGGAAGAAAACTCTCCCCTACTACATGATAAGCTCCCTTCCCTCCCCGGGCTTCACCCCGGTCCCCAGGTGACCAACACCATGTGCACAGCCAGAGCCTGTGGCCAGGGGACCATGGACACCCAGGTGCTCGCTGTGCAAAAAGCTGCGTGGAGCCAAAGCTTCGGTGAAGATGGCGTGGCCCTGGAGGAGCTGCTTGGCTTAGCGAGAGCAGAGGCTCATGGATAACTGGACCCCTGGAGCAGCTCTTCTCCCACACGGACCCCCCATCACTGGTGTGAGGGGGGCTGGCTCGTCTGCTCTAGCAGTGCTCCGAACGGCCACACACAACACCTCACTGGTACCCCATCAGCCCTGCTGCTCTGCCCGTTGTGGGGCGGGATCCTGGCAGACGTGGGCAGGCTAACGGCCTGTGGGGGTCTTTGCAGTTCCCGGGCTCATCACCAGCACAGCAGCGTTGCCCGAGTGCTCACGAAGGTACCAAGCACCGTGCGAAGCCCTTCCTTTGATGTTTTATTTAATCTTCATGACAGCCCTCGAAATCGGTATTGTTTTACAGATGGGTAAACTGAGGCGCAGTAACTAGCAAAGCCCCAATGCAAACCCAGGCAGTGTTACTCTAGAACAGCATTTCTCAGGGCCAACCCTGCGTCAGTCACGGGGGAGCCTCGGCACAGGGCCTGCCGGGCACAGCGCCCCCACCCCCAAGTGGCCACTGTCCCGAATCCTCGGTGGGCCCTGCAGCTTACTGAGGGTGGCGCCCTGACTGAGAGGTGACAGAAGGTGGGGATCCCACATGCGACATTCCAGGGACGGGATGAGAGGCCCTGTGAAGAGCCTTCCAGGAAAGCCTGGGTCGACTCGCTGGGACCTTACCTGCAGGTTCTCAGCAATGCGTTCGGGCGTCACAGACTTGGGGATCACGACCAAATTCCTCTGTATGGGGAACCGGATCAGAACCTGCAAATCGATGTGCCGAGTGTGCATGAACACCAGGAACTCTTATGTCATTATCTCACTTCGTCTTATACATCCATAACCGGGAGGGGAAAATTTCAGGACTTGACAGGTGAGAAAACCGAGGTGCAGACTTGTTACGGTGACGCACATAAGCGTGTGGGCGGGTGGCACTCAAACTCTGACCCCAGAGCCCTGCTCTCTGCCACCACGCCACGTGCCTCCGTGTCTCGTCTCAGATGTACTACTTGCAGGAGACTGCCCACTGCCAGGTGGGAGGAAGCACGTTTCCCATGAGCTCACAGTGAGAGCTTTTCTGAGTGCAGAGGTGAGCTTTCACCTGCAGTTAGCAACTGCTGAGCCCCGCAGAAGCCTGGGAAGGTGCTGGGGCAGGTACTGTTATTCCCAGGCCCTACGGAAGTCTTCTAGCTCCCCAGTCGGTACCCTACACACCCCAGGACCCCAAGCCGCACATCCAGGGAGGGCTTGACGGGGCTCAGTCACCCTCCCTCCTGGCCCACTGGGACCACCACAAATACAGAAGTTCTGGGAACAGTCATGAGCACCTGGAAATGGCCGTACCTGGGCTGTGCTTTTTTTGTACTTGTCAGCTATTGCTTTGATCCTGGGATCCTCTAGGAGGGAAGGGTCCTCAGGCTTGGCCCTGCAGACAGGAAGGTGGCTTGTGTGAATAACTATCATCACTGCCACTCAAGGCAGCCAGCACCCGTACCCCTAACACCCATCAAACTCAGAGGGCAGCCCACCAGTGTCCTCCCAACCCTTTGGAAAAAAACAGGCCTCTTGCTACTAGAAATGCCAACCAGGAAACCCAATTAAGAGGCTCCCAGGAAGGTCTGCAAATCGGCCCTAGAAGCATTTTCCTTGATGCTGAATGTTTCTTTTTAGCCATTTCTAATCTTCACCAACTGACAAGAAAACACGGTCCCATGGAAACTCACCAGGGTCTGTCGGGGGAGCCCAGGGGACTGTAAGCAGTCACCACAATGCCTTTGGACTGGCAATACTGGACTAATTTCTCCTGAGTCAGGTATGGGTGGCACTCGATCTGCAAATGCAAACAAGGCGTGGTGGCAGCACTGTGGGCACAGCTCATGGGACACTCAGGAAGTCTCCCCATGCTAAGTCCCTCCCCTCACCAGATAGAAACTTATGCTTCACCAATGTCCTGTCTCCCAGATACGCTGTAACTACTGTCTCCGCTTGCCAGCGAGTGGCCTTGACGTTAACAGTGATAATCTTGTTACCATGTACTGTGGCCGTGAGCACTAAGGATTTCTTCTGGCTTTGGCCATTTATCAACTGTGTCAGGTCCAGGGATTTCAATGTCTGCACGCTGCTAATCTGTGACACCCTGAGCCATCGCAAGCCAGCCTCAGACCCTTTCTCTCCTGCAAGTTTCACTCCCGGATGTGCCACTGTTGTTCTGAACCATAAATGAGGTCTCTGCCAAGGCCCTGGAGCTGGCCTCCTGGCTGCCATGGATTAGAAATTGTTCTGAACCATAAATGACGTCTCTGCCAAGGCCCTGGAGCTGNAGCAGAGGGGGTGAAGATCTGTGAACATACAGAATTGCTAACATAGGTTCTAGTAATTTTAAGCAGGTCACAGAGAAGTTTGTCATTCCCCATCAGCATGGGCTTGGCTGCGATGCCTGATAACTTCCTGGCTACCAGCTCCTGTTTCATTCTCCCTGGCCAGACCCATGCTCTTGCGGAGAAAGTCTAGCAGAAAAGATCTCTGTGCACCGGCAAAGTGCAAGTGGTATTAAGAGGTTTGGCACCTTTATAAAAGAAGCATATTCATTCAACAAATTCTTTCATTTACCCAACAAATATTAACTGGATATTTAATACCAGGGTCCTGGGGTTACAGAGATAAACAGGAACAAGTCTCTGACCCTATAAAACCTCCTTTGTAGAGGGAGAGACAGAAAACATATCTAAAAACAAGCCAATGGAATATCTGGCCAGATCTGATAAGCCATATGATGAAAACCAAAGAAATGATAAGGCTAGACATGAGGGCAGGGTTGACTGCCNGTTGAATGAATAGCGCGCATTCCTCTGAAGAGCTGTTTACCTGGTTAACCACCGGCTTGTGTTTTAAGCCAGGTTTGTTTAACATCTTCTCAATTTGGAGATGGTTGAAGTTGGAGATCCCAATAGATTTCACCAGCCCTTCATCCACCAGCTCTTCCATGGCCTACAGACAAAAGAGGGTGTGCTGGCTGCTGACATGTGCCCAAAAGGACAAGGATCAGAAGCATGTTTTGCATCCATCCTGCCCTTACTACCCAGTGCCAGCGAGTTAGACCTTTGAGGAGCCAGGAGACGCCAAGACAAGAGGCAGGCTGGCTTTCATGGGACAGAAAGAGCAAAAACAGTGACAAAAGGACAAAAATGCAGTGAAAGAAACGGCAGAGCAGATCGGTCATACCTCATCCAGTCACAGGGACAACAGGGCACCAGCACTAAAGAAGAAAGCAAAACTGGGGGCTGCCTTACCTCCCATGTTTCCAGAAAGTTGGTGCTGCCAGGAATCACGGTGCCTTTGGCATCCAACGGGAAAAATTCATTTCCGGGCTGTGGTTACAACCAAAACAGTCAGTCAGTCACAGCCCTTCCTAGGCCTGCTGGGGGAGCTGCATCTTGGAATGCAACGTTCTAAAAGTATTCTAAACTGCAATAGCTGGCTAAGGTTTTAGAAGATAACCAAGGGTATACATCTGTGTGTCAGTGTGAAAAAGACACAGGCAGGCAACTCCTACAGCCCTCAGACACTTGTTCTAACAAATGGTTTGGAGCTGTCAGGTGGAGGAGGGTAGTTCTCGGTCGGCGAGATGAACCCCACCATGGGCTGGAGCATGTGGCTGGGGGAAGGACTCAAGAAGAGGACGCAGGAGGGCCACATCCTGGCAGGATCACTGATCACTAGCCTACAGGAGCGGCCACCCTGCCGAGCCTCGTTGGCTTATCATGAAAAACAAGAGATGCAACTCAGGCCCTGACACAGCACAATAAAACAGAGCTATAGGGTGACACCCATACTTTCAATATGGCTGACGAAACAGAAAGCTGAGCCCGTGGCTAGAATGAAGGCAAAGGGCGTAACAACGCTAGATTCCTTTTGTGTAAAGAGCCACGCGGCCAACAAATACAAACTTCCACAGGACAGGGCATGTCTGTGGAATGAAGGGATAGGCACACATACGTATGTGCAGGGTATGAATGTGGATGTGCCTATGGGTGGGCCGGAGATCGCTGATGATGCCAAGGCCATGTGTAGAAATGTCACCTGGGCCATGTCTGCTGTCACAAAGCTGTAAATTATACAATCACCAAATGACCCAGGGAGTGCAGTGTTCCTCAAACTCTGTAATGTTCATCCAAGTCACCCAGGGTTCCGATTCAGACGCCTTACATGGGGCCCGAGACTGATTTCTAACAGCTCCCAGGTGATGCCCCTGCTGCTGGTCTACGGACTGTATCTTGAGCAGTGAGGACACACACAGAGCATGTCCTCACTCGTCACCGGCTAATGAGGGAGGATATAACATGTCCTAGGTTACACCTGAGCCCCGTGCCCCGTACCTTGAAGCATGTTGGCCAATGGATAAGGTAGAGGTCCAGGTAGTCCAGCTTCAGGTCGCTCAGCGTCTTCTGGCAGGCCACTTTCACCAGGTGTTTCTCATGGTACGTGCTCCACAGCTGAAGCCAGCGAGAGAACACATCTTACCCCTGCTGCGCAGGTAGCTGGCTCCTGGCTGGGAGCCGGATGTTCGCAGCTGAAGGACTCGCTTTTCCCTCCCACAAACCCACCCGTGTCACCGTGATGCTAGAGATGGTGGAGAAGGAGAGTGCATTTCACAACGTGGATCCTAACTTTCCAAAGGAAGGGAAGATACTCAGATCAAGGATAGATACCCCTCAGAAGGACCAAAGTAAAGGCAAAAACATATTGGGTTGTCAGAAAAGTCATGACGTATTTTTTTCTATGTTTTTCATTGCAAAAACGAGTCATGACTTTTCCGACAACCCAGCAGAATGGACAGGTCGGCAAGCCGGCCCAAGGCCCTACGTGAGTTCTCAGGGCTATCTTCCTACTAGGCTGGTCTTCGTGGAGCCAGCCTCTCTCCCCCAGCAGGTGTTCTCTGGGCACCAACAGCCACCAGGTAAAAAAATGGCGGCCCGCAGTGGCGATCCAGTCTGCAGACGGGAACCAACCTGCATCCTCAAAGAAAAGTCCCTGGAAAGGGAGCACCAACCCACAACCTCAGGGGCTCTGACCACTGGGTCCAGATGGAATGACCATCCAACAGGCAGCCATGGATGGGCGAGCTCTGGAACCCTCTCTGGTCTTGAGTCGACATGTTTCCCCTGGAAGAATCGCCTGCCGAGTGATAACTGTGGCTGAACCAAGAGGCCGCAGAGTACGGCCTTGGCTCCTAAGCTGACGCCGCCACTGGATAACCGAGAACGAGAACCCCGTCCCCCAGGCTCCCGTGAAAGCGGCACCTTGCTGACGATGAAGAGGTCTTCCCGCTTCACCGCCTTCTCCTTGAGCTTCTCCTGGATGGCCACGCCCACCTCGTGCTCGTTCTGGTACACGAGCGCGCAGTCAATGTGGCGGTACCCCAGGTCAATCGCCACCTTCACAGCTTCCGTCACTTTGCCTGGAGGGGACTGAAAGGAAAGGAAACAGAAGGCACGGAGTGAAAACCCAAAATGAAACAGAACACGGCGTTTGCACACCACCCAGGGAGGAGGGCAGGGTGAACCTCCCACCCCGCACTGAAGCGCCTGTTCCCGGAAGGCCAGCTATGGAAGGCCCAAGTACGTTCCTGAGGCGGATTCTAAACTATTTGCTCTCAGACAGAATGAGGTGAAGTGCCCCATTGCTTCGCTTTATCGTCATCTGACAACAACAACGTAAGAGCAGCATAGGTCACTTTCAAAAGATGTGCCAAGGCCACCCTGCTTCCTTGTTTCTTCACATCTGTTGGTTTACAAACCACTGGATAAAAAAGCCTCCACTATCTGAATCTGTTTGGTTCTCAGAACAATAAATCAAGGATACAATTTCCTTCAAGTAGCTCAAAATATTTCAAAAATCGCTGTAAATGTTTATCCAATTCCCATCTGGTTTCCGAGTGCAGTCAGAAAATGCCTGTCCTTGACTCGCTCCTGTGTGCATGGATTTGGAGATTGGCAATCACTTGTTTTTAAGCAGCACTGGGAGATTATCATCAAGTCAAAAGGTTACTGATGCAGAGTCAGAGGTCTGGCCTCCGATTCTCACTGTAGAAGAATTCTGGAAGCTCACCATACAGTGCGTGGTTAGACCTGCAAAGAAGCTGCACGGCGTCTGTGCCCAAACCATCTGAGTGATCAGGACAGGTGTGGGGGCCTGGCTACTGCAGAGGAGGAGGTGCCTGCATAGCTACTGAGGTCCACCCACACTGACTGCACACACTTATTCCATCTGCTGCTCAGACCACAGAGGTGAAAAGTAAACAGGTGTGCCACGAGCTGTTGAATGAAGAGCTGTTGAATGAATAGCGCGCATTCCTCTGAAGAGCTGGGGTAGAAAAGAATAAAAAGGAAAACTCCCCCAGGGCCATGGGGGGGGGGAGGAGTTGCGGACACCTGTTGTTTTGACAACAGCTGTTGTGAAGGGGTGGGGGCAGAAGACAGAGCTTCGGGAACAAGGGCATGACCTGAGCCTGTTAGCACCCTGACCTTGCTGGCCACCGTGGAGGGAGCAGGGAGGTGGGGTGGCGATGCTAACCTCAGGTGTAGATCAGGGAACGTCTTCAGATGACCTGGCGATCTCCTACTTCCCTGGAGGACCCCAGAAGCTGCACCTGCAGCTTTCCCCACCCTTCGTAGTTCAAAGAGCAGAGAGCAGAGCTCGTCGGCATAGCCAGATGATACCAATTACCACAACCTCTCCGTGGCATTCTGGGCACGGCTGTCACTGATGTGGGCAGTGAGAGCGCAGCACACCTGTTCCCAAGAAAGAACCAGTGCGGCACCCAGGTGGGGAAACTGCTCGGCGTGCATTTCACTTTCCTCAGACTTCAAGGCAGCCTGACAGATTTTCTCTGCAGAGCCCTGTACTGTGCCAGCCTAGCACCTCACAGCCCCCGACCCTGGGCGGAGGGGTGGGCACATTTCTCAGGCCCAGCCTAGTCATGCCCTGTATCTGCCACAGCAACGGGAGCAGGGGCAGAGGCGTGACCCACACCAGGATCACAAGATTCAACCTTTGGACTTCCGCTGGCACCACCAAAATAAGATTTCACTGTGGCAAGACCTCGCTGTGCTGGGAGGATGTGAGCCAGAAGAAAACGGGGACGAGAGACAGATAAGTGTTGAGAGGGACCTCTCCTGGTGACATCATTTATATCCTTGACTCTGTTACAACTGAGGTCATTCTTAAGTCAATAAATCCCCACCTAAAACACATTTTTTTTTTCCTCTGCTTAAGCTTAAGTCGGTTCCTTGGCACCAGAAGTGTGTAGACCCAGAGAAGGGTCTGAATGGTACGACACAGCCCCCATGACATGAAACGTCTAGGAGAAAAAGAGCTGTAGCCACTTGCAGCATCTCCCTGCGTTCTCACAAAGATAAGCAAATGGTATTTAGGTCACTGTATCTTTTGTCCAGAATCTCTGAAGGACTATGTACACACATAGGGGAAAAGGGATTAAGCCACCAATCATAAAACTTTTGTACTTAAAAAAAAAAAAAAAAGGAAACCTACTTCAAGCCTATACTTATACCATTTCTTTCACTGTCACCTCTTCCATCATGCCTGCACACAACTCAATACAAGCAAGCCTCATCTATCTCCTCACCCCCCAAAATCTAAGGTTATCTTACTTTTTCGTATCAATTCAACACACGTATCTTTTGGGTACCTGCTATTTACCAGGCCACTGGGAGAAGTGCTAGAAATAGATGTGAACAAGGCAGACACCACCCTAGTTTTGGATGAACTCAAGTCTGCAGAGTGAATGATCTAAAGGCACAGATTTCCGTAATGTTATTTAAAACAAATATACAGCTTTTCAGGGGGTTTAATGCTCAGGTGGATGATTAAAAACCCACTTTCACCAACTTTTACTCCTTATTTAGCTTCGAGTAGTTGATTTTCAAACAACAGGTCTAAGGTCAGGACCATAATTGCTGAAAACAAGATAGATTAATAATTTCGGAATACATCCCACCAAGTAAGGCTAAGTATTGTTCTGTGGAACTTCTGTTCCAGTTGTATGTGCATGTCTGTGAGCTAGATCGTTACAGAAATCGTGATTAAGTATTGCCAAGAAAACATCTTTTCACATCCATTCCAAGAGAACAACAACCTGCAACAGATGGAATTTAACTCTGTATTATGGTCACAGTTCAATTACACCCTTCGAACCACCCCTGGACTTTTGGAAGGAAACACAAAATTGCATATGCTCTGATCGCTTTGGCCAAGAGCCACTTTCTGTGTGAGGCAACTCCAGGATCCTTTTCTTAACCCCGTCATAGTTACTAATTTTCGACGGCAGATTTAAGGTGGAAGTCAACGACATCCTCTGTTCCATTTCAAACCATTTCACAGGGCACCCAATCCTGTCTTTTCTTTCCTTGTCTGTGGGTAAATATCCAGTGCCCAGGGCCACATTCAAAGTTCCTGGGAAAACCTGGGTCATAGCTATGGAATGTAACATATAATACCCAAAATTAACTTATAAGCAGCTTAAAAATATTGGGTTTTGCCCCAGTGTCCATTAATACCTTCTGTGCCCCCTAATTTTCGGATAATCAGGTTATCCATTTTATTCCTCACTATTTCTTTAGGGACGTTCAGTGGTGTTCAGGTTTCCGGAGCCAGATTTAAGAGCGCTACCGGTTTCCCACGGGCCCTAACCACCCATCCCCAGGTGCTCTTTGTGGAGCTCTGCCCCGCACACGACACCCCTAAGCTGCCATGCAGAGGTAGAGGAGTTCAGCCCTGCGGGCCATGGGTCCTGGGCAAACCCGTGCTCCTACCTAATTTAATTATCTGCAGTCTCCAGGCTTACCTTGAGTTGCTTATTCCTGAGAGAGAAAAACGGAAACGATTAAGGATAATTTAGAAGGAAGCCAAAGGGGCGGCGCAACAAGTGCCCCTAAAAAGAGAGGCACGCAGACGCTCAGCGCCCCTCCCCCCGCTGCATCTGTTTCTCGGCTCCATCTCGCGGGCTCCTCCCGACCCCCATCCCCAGGGCCGGAGCAACGGGGACTCGGGAAGCACCCCCTTCCCTTCGGTTTCTTTGAGGGATTTTTCCAGCTGGGATCAGATACCAAGTGCGACCTAGCGGCTCCACCCATCAAGTGTCTACAGGGGCTGCTTTCCGGGGGTTCACTCCCAAGCCCCTCACGCCAGCGCCTGGCCCGCCTCGGTTCCCGCATCCCGGCGGGGCCCACCCGAGCAAGCCCAGGGCCCCGGCCGATCCCAGTGTGGCTCCTCGGAGGCCGAACGTCCCCCCCGCGGGAACCGCTGAGGGGTCACTCCAGGTCCCTTCCCAGCCCCAGGCTGCGCGGAGCCCGAAGCGAGCCGCGGAACGTGCCCGGCGCGGCACCTACCTTCCAGGTGCCCAGCCCCAGGATGGGCATCTTGGCGCCGTTGGAGAGCACGAGGTGGTTGGCCATGGCGACCGACCTCCACAGACCCTCACCCAAGACCCACGCCGCGGTGGCGCCGGCGCGGACCTTTAAGTAACCTCGGCCGAGGGGGACGGGGGCGGGTACGCTTCGCAACCGTCTACGCGAAGTCGGCTCCTGATTGGCCCGCCCGAAGCCGAGGTTGCGGCTACCAGACTCGGCTTCGGAGCTTCGCGGGGACGCTTCTTCCGCTAGGTCCTAGAGGAGCCGGGGTTTTTTCCGCTAGAATTGCAGGCCCGCGCCCCGCGCGGTAGGAGAGAGACCTCGCCAACCCCTGTGGCGCTTGGAATCGCGAATGCTTAAGCAAAAGGAACAGACATCCTACAAATATGTAGCTTGGGGAGGAATTTCGGTGTATATCTTTCTGGTTTTTTGTTTTTTCTTCTTTCTTTCTTTTTTTTTTTTTTAAGAGTCCGAAGGATACGTTTGTCTATTGTCCAATCCCAGTATCATGCTCTTTGGGAACTTGACAAATGTCCGGTCCTTAGTTTTTAGGAACCATGCTGGCTACTGGTAGCTTTCAGCGCGCTTTGCTCTTAGGAAACTGCATTCCAGAGAAATTGCTTGCAATCTTGTTGCATAACACCTTCTCCAGATTTCGGGTTGCCCAGCCTGTGTGTAGCTCCTGGGGCCATCTTCACACCCTACCCTAGGTGTGAGCTATGTCTGTACACAAGCCTTCCTCCCAAAGCAGCATTTCTGCAGGTCAGGAAGCCTTGATGAGCTTGATCTAGAACTCACAGAAGATACCAATCTTTAGAAGTGAGAATCTATGAATGCAGCAAGTTTCAAACTGGTAAGTTAGCAAAACTCTAGAAGAAGGGTGAATAGGCAGAAACCCACAAAAGAAAAGCCAGCTTTAATATTGAAGCTTCAAGTACTTCAAATTCGGAGGTGCTAAATAGTATAATAAATCCATCAGCCCTAATTGGTAGGTAAAAAGATATTATTTTCCAAGATAACCAAAGCAAAGCTGTGGGTGAGCTTTGAAGACAACTTTGGTTTCCTTCAACCTCTCTCCATGATGTTCTATGCCACCCTAAGCCTTCTCTTTCTGCTCCATCACCTCTGAGCGTCCCTCTAATCTTGCAAGATGGAGAACTACATCTGCCCAGCAATGACTCAGGAACCAGACCTCTCTAAACTCCATTCTGGGAATTTTCCATTTAGCGATTTCTAAAAAGTGCCCCCTAGGAAAATTTTATACACAACAGACTAGCCCAGATAGTTTTCCATTTAACTCTCATAAAAACTGTTGGTAGTGGGCAAATTCTGATGCTGTTCGTCCCCAAATAATAGAATTTCATTTTAACTCTAAAGCTGGTAACTTGGTTAGTGGTACAGGAGCAGTAGCCCACTACTTTTCGTTCATAGGATCCCTTTTGACATAGAGGTTGCTGTTCAAAAGGCTAGTCTTTTTGGAAAAATGATACACCTTGAGTGACCAGGCTGGTATACACAGAGGGGTCATCTGTGAGGAACAAGGAACCAATAGGAAGGGCTTTGTTGTATGTAGGTATGGGTTGAGTTTAAACTCTGACTGCCTGAAGGCATAGCTGTCTAAATCTGAAGTATTCTGAGTAGGTTCCCCAAATGTAAAGAAGTCAAACCTGTGCAATTTCTAAAGCAACAATAACTGCCCCTGTAATCTTTGTAACATGCCATTGTGCACATATCAAAATGATGCTTTAAAAAAAAAAAACCTTCATGGAATCCTTCTGAGAAACATTCTATTGTAGTACTTGACATCAAGAGCAATGAGAGTCTTAATGTGCTCTGAACCAGTAATCCCATCATGGGAACTAGTAATCTCATCCTGATGGAATAATTTAAAAGGAAAACACACACACACACACACACACACACACACACACACACACGTATGTGTGTGTGTGTGTGTGTGTGTATGAAAAACAGTTCTATATACATAAAGTAAAACAGTAAATGTCTAATAATAGAGATAACAAGTAGCCATTAAAAGTGAATATAGAGAAAAGTGTATATGAAAAAAATGTGAAGGTGAAAGAAAACAAAATCATAAATATCACATGATTATAAACATACAAAAACAACTTATAAAGTTAGCAAGAAGCCAAAGGGAAGGGGACTATCATTGGTCAGAATATTTCATCAGTAAATACAACTTGCACTTAACTATTTTTTCTTTTATTTTTTTCAATTTCTTTCATTTTTTTAAAGATTTACATTAAAATATAGCTAATATACAACATTATATTAGTTTCAGGGGGTACACCATAGTTATTCAACATTTATATACCTAAAGAAGTGATCACCATGATAAGCCCAGCAACCATCTGACACCGTACCACGCTATCACAATATTATTAATTATATTCCCTATACTGTACATTATATTCCCATGACTTATTTGTTTTATACCTGGAGATTTAAACCTTGTATTCCCCTTTACCTTTTCCCCTTTTTTAATTTTTCAATTACAGTTGACATTCAATATTATTTTATATTAATTTCAGGTGTACAGCATAGTGGTCAGACATTTGTATAATTTAAGAAATGATCCCCCTAACTAGTGCTCACCTGGCACTATACATAGTTATTACCATATTATTGACAATATTCCTTATGCTATACTTTACATCCCCATGACTATTTTGTAACTGTCAGTTTGTACCTTTTACACCCTGCCCCAACCCCCTCCCATCTATCACCCCAACAAATGTAGTACCCATCTAACACCATACATAGTTATTACAATATCATTGAATATATTCCTTATGAATTAAATACCCTACATCCCCATGATTACTGTGTAACAATCAATTTGTACTTTTTTTTTTTTTTTTTTTAGCTGAGCCATCCTGCCACCTGTTGGCAGCTCAGCTCAGGCCGGGTATGAAACCGCTGTTGCTCAGAGCTCGCACTCTTGAGCGAGTTCTTAACCAACTGAGCCACTCCGCGGGCCCCAATTTGTACTTCTTAATCCCTTCCCCTTTGTCACTCATCTCCAACCCCCTCCCACCTGGCAACTATCAAAATGGTCTCTGTATCCATGAGTTTGCTTCTGTTTTGTTTGTTTATTTTGCTCTGTAGATTCCACATATAAGCAAAATCTCATTGTACCTGTCTTTGTCTGACATCCCCTACTCAGCACAATACCCTCCAGGTCCATCCATGCTGCCATAGATGGCAAGAACCCATTCCCTTCCATGGCTGAGCAATATTCCATTGTATATATGTACCACCTCCTCTTTATCCATTCGTCCATCGATGGACACCCAGGCTGCCTTGCTACTACTCATCTCAGGTAGCAGGAACACTGTGACAAACACACACAAGGGACATGATGGCAGCTCCAGGAGAAACCACAGGGTGAGCATTCCTATCAGGCCAACAAGGGTGGCCTTCTCCCCACCTCTGCCCGCTCCATCCTTCCATACCCCCAGCCAACCAAACCTAACTTTGGGAAGAGAACACCTGAGATTGGTTCTGTGGAGGCAGGAAGCAGAGAGAGGCAGCAGGCAAAGAGAAAGGGCTAGAGGCCACAGGAAGAGGACAGAGTCCGCAGCCCCTCCCATGGAGGGGGAGAGGCCTTAAAAACTCTGGGAACTGGCCTACTGGGAAGCTGGCTCCAGTGTGTCAATATTTCTTCACGTTTGTTTGCAAGATAAGGTTTCGGTGGCACACATCATTGGGAGAAGTGTCAGTGTTAACCCTCCTCATTGATAATAAAAAGAAGAGAAAGCGAGAGACACTTTTTCACTTTTGTCATGGCTGTTCCATAAATTCTTGTGCACTTCAGATACATTCTCTGGCTTGATCCTTATAACCTCCTGGCAAAGACGCCTGGCTATGTTCCTTTCCCATTTTTCAGAATGAAGAAACTGAAGTTTGAGAATATTCATTTGCCCAAGGCCAAGAAGAGCCTTTCCATTAAAATTTTAATATTTTGTTCATCATGGATTTTTTTTTTAATTTTAAAAATTTAGATTTTTAAAACATTGCCTTAAAATATTGTTAAGTCCAGACAATTAATAAAGAGGCTGGATATCAAATTAGGGTTCCGAAGATTTTATTAAGCTGAGCTCAGCGACTGTCTCCCCAGCTAAAGGAAAAAACGGTACCCCAGACTCAGGGGGGTCTGGTTTTTAATAAGGCAGGGCTATATATGCAAAGTAAGTTACAGAAGCCAAAAAGAATGTGCAGTTATTCCAGTTAAAAC